AGGTATGCACCACCAGGCCCGGTTTAGGGGCCCAGCACAGCACACAGTGTCGGGGAACAAACCCAGGTCCTGGCACCTGCAGGGAAGGTGCTTAGTCCCTGAGCTATCTCTCTATCCTGATAGTTATTATTTAATGAAGGTGGAGTTTCTATGTGGGTTGGTATACTGGTTGATACATTGAGAAGTTTAAAAGTTTAATTGGGCTGGGGAGATGGCTCAGTGGAATAAGTGCAAGCGCAAGGGCCTGAGTTCAATTCCCAGTTCCGCCAAAAAATGAAATTAAATAAAATAAAAGTTTAATTAAGTGACTCAGCAGGGAGCCAGGATTCTTACTTTGTAAACAGCCTCATCCTGTGCAAGAGGAGGGCATGGACATTGTGTGAGTTCTACACTCCCAGCCCCAGGGTAGCTTGTTTATAAGGGAGGAGAAGGCTGGCTAGAAGCCACAGCTGCTGCCCTTCCCTTTGCTCTTTGCTGTTTTTTTTGTTGCTCTGAACTGCTGCCCTCTGCCTTGTACCACTCCTCCTGGGAGCCAGCCAAGTATAGACTGAAACCTCCACAAACTGAGTTAAATAAACTTTTCCTTCCTTAATTTTGGCTGTTGGGTATTTTGATCCAGCAATGAGTGAAAAGTAACTGAAACAGAATTTAGTACCAGAGAAGTGGGGTCATTGCTGTGACTACCTGACCATGATGTTCAGGAGCCTTTGGGAATGGCTTGTGGGAAAAGATAAGAAAGCTCTGGGTGGGGCCAGGGAGATGGCTCAGTAGAATAAGTGCTTGCCTGGCAAGCACAAGGGCCTGAGTTCAATTCCTGGTTCCACCGAAAGAAAGAAAGAAAGAAAGAAAGAAAGAAAGAAAGAAAGAAAGAAAGAAAGCAATCAAGCAAGCAAGCTCTGGAGACGTCACCTACTAGAGAAGAGCTGGAATGCCTTCAGAAGGATTTTTACCCCCTCTGGCTCAGGATTCCTTAAGGGAAGGTCTGGTAAGGCATGAGGATCTGGGGATGGAACCACAGTATCCTGAGCCTAACTACCTTCACTTAAAAAGTCACTTAAACAACTGAGTTAATTAATGGGCAGGCCCCCTGGAATGCCTTCAGCTTTTCTGTGTGGGAGATTCTGGTCAGAGCTCAGAAGAACAGAATGCTAATACAAAGCCTGCCTGTAAAGACAGGCTCGGCAGGTTTCTGCTGGGAAGGAAGACTGTATTGGAGGTTATTGGACTCCAGATGATTTGTATTATCACTTGGCAGAAAGTTTGCATTTTGCTCCTGTCCTGAGACTGAGATTAAGCACAGTGGACTAGTTAATCTTGCAGAAGAAATCTCAAGGCAGTCAAATGTTGAAGCAGTGGCATGGCTATTGTTGGGGCTTTTACTCAGATATATGATGAGAGTCAAGAGCAAAGAGTCCAGCGTGATGATTTAAAACATTGTGAGTTTAAGGGGCTGGGAGATGGCTCAGTAGAATAAGGGCTTGCCTGGCAAGCACAAGGTCCCGAGTTCAATCCCAGGTTCTGCCAAAAACAAAACATAAACCAAAAACATTTGTTATAGGGGCCGGGGAGATGGCTCAGTAGGATAAGCGCTTGACTGGCAAATGCAAGGATCTGAGTTCAATCCCCAGTTCCGCCAAAAAAATAAAAAATAAAAATAAATAAATAAATAAATAAAACATTGTGAGTTTAGCCAGAAAGGAGGTGCCAGGAAGCCTGTGGACTGAAAAGAGAAGAGTTGAGATCTCCACTGCCCAGGAGGAACAGGAGAATAAAAAAGATGTCTCGAGGGCATCACAGGAGGTGGCAGGTTCTTGCGCTTTACAGCCTCTGAATTGCAAGGGTGAGGGACTTTGCTCTGAGGTGGAAGCTGCAGAGCCCCATGTTCCAGAATGGAGGTGGCGGCCATGCCAGGTTCTAGAATGGCACTGGCATCGAGAATTTGTTCCTAGTGCTCAGCAACCCAGGTACTCAGTGCCTACAGCCAAGAGAAAAGGAACCCGGGTAACTGCTCTAGCTAGCAGCAGGCCTTGGTATCATCCATATGGTGCTGGTTTTAGGTGCATGCAGAATACAGGAGTTCTAACACAGTTCTAATGGCTGTGTCTCCTGTCTGTGACCGCCCCCCCCCCCCCCGGGTTGACCAATCCCTCGCACCCCATTGCACAGATGCTCTGGCCTGGGTCAGGTACCTACTAGTATTTGGTTCCTGGTGCGAGGTTTGTCACCTGGTATGCGCTGAGCCTAGTGACTGTGAAGCCAGCCCCGCTGTCCATCACGCTTACCAGGTCCCTGCGACCTCGGCAGGGGGGAACCACAAAGCTGGAGTTCACCACTGGGCCGGAAGTTGAGAGAGAACTTAAGCCTCATTAAGAAGGCTTCCACCTAGATTTCAGAAGGCCTGAGAAGCCAGACAGTGTGCTCCTGAGAGGGCAGTGGATAAAACTGTGAGAAGCCTATTCAGTGGAAACTCCAGAAGTTTGGAAAGGATTCTTTGAGAAAAGCTGCAGAGAGAGCAAAGCCAGCCCCAGAGAAAAGCCACGGGAGCTAGCAGTAGAAGTGCAGTAGAGGCCGAGCCATGTAAGGCTTTTAAAGCTTACAACTCATTACAGGTTTCTTCAGATATTCCACATGGAACTACGGGACTTAATGTTTGCTCTTCTAGATTTTGGACTTGTTTTGGCCCCAATGCTTTGTATCCTGCTGCTTATACTTTTTGGAATGGTCATGTTTTTCTTGTGCCATTGAATGTTGGAAGTGGGGGCCGGGGAAATGGCTTAGTGGAATAAGTGCTTCCCTGGCAAGTGCAAGGCCCTGAGTTCAATCCCTGATTCC